GTGCTCATTAAAATGATGCATTTCTTTGAGGTCAATCTTAAAAAGTCAACTGAAGAACCACAAGATTAATACATGAATCTTAACCTGAAATATAAAAACTAAAAAATAATGGTATGGATTTTTAAAAAGAAACACAAGTTAACCAATTTCAAGTGATCAGTGCAGCTGCAGTGAAACGCAGGTGTAAGAGCCCCATCCAGTGGTCAGACACACAAAGTGTTGGTAATAATATAATACTATTATTCATTCAATGCTTTCGACAATGGTACACCAAACAACATCATATGTCAAAGCGAAATAACTTTTACATTTGAAAACTTGACAGTTAAATATGTAAAAATATGTTTTTCAGCAGGGACTATTGCCATGTGTTAGGACTTACTGTAAATGATAGCAGTATAGTTTAAGAAGAAACAAATACTGTTATAACAATAGTCACATTTTCAAGTCTAACTTTGAAATGCATACATATTCTACAAATGCAGTCACTTAAAAGAGATAGAATACATAAACATGGTTAATGATCAGCTGTGTGACGTTTATTTTTATGCAAAGTTGAAATAGGAAAATATTACAAAAGCAGGCAGAAAGATATACCCTGAAGCTATTTGACTGCATGGCTAGTGTGAAATACCCCCCAATATAAACGTTTAGTTGTTTCACCCACAGCAGCCTGATCTTTCCACATCAACTGTAGGCTGTACATTAACATTTGATGCCAATGCTGTAAATAAATCTGATTCCAATACATCTAACACCGACTCACATGGGACTTTGAATGGGGTCTTAATTCTTCTCAGGTTAGATGAGGTAACACTCACTTACAGCATCATGCTAACCGACATGGCAATAACATTGTCTACTCTACCCTTAACAGAAAGTGAGAGAACTGGGTCATTGTGGGAAAACATAGCTCCTCACTGCTGCCAAACGGTGTAAAACCTGAAGTGACCTCTTGTAATTCAATTTACCTGGACAGGAGTGCTAGGTTAGTTTTATTACGGTTTCTGACCAGGCTGTGTTCCACATTGTCTGGCACCTCGAATAACCTTGTCTTTGATCATGCCGAGGCTTATGAATCCCTGCTGTGAGCCTTTTTTTCATTGCTGTAGGCGAACTACTTGGTAAACGATAAAAGTAGAAAATGTAGCCTTGCTGGTTATTTTTACCTGGAGAACATTTAACACTTCACTCTCCGATGGCAGGAGATTTACTTGATGAAATTACAATGGCAGTGTGTGACACATTTTTTATTATCCTCATAACTTTGCAGAGGGTCATGGCTGAGGATGAGCATTATTTGTGTATGTTATGGTTGTGATGTGTTAAAAGAGATAAAGGGATATGTAAAAGGTGTCCGAATGTGCAATAAACGTGAGACAAAAATGTAATCTGATGGAACAGGATCCTTAATGATATGGGTGATGGCCACATTTACCATAAAGGCCATAAAGGGATATTTTGCTTGTTTTAATTGCATGTCATGCTTGGAGTCAACATTACCTAAATTGTATTTCTGCTACTTGTGAATGCAGCTAATTGGCTTTTGGCCTGTGGGTTCCTCTGCACCCCTCTGAGAATCACTATCTTATTATAGTGAAGGAGTTTGCCCCTGTGACCATGGGAGTCAGAGGCAACAGCTCCTTTTAAGGTCTCTGAAAGCAAATTGGTCCCAGGTGAGGGCCTGACTACAAGAATACTGTATTTGGAAAAAATGTTAACTTCGGGCTAGGCATACTGGGACCCCCTCTCAGTGCCCGGGCCAGGCAGACAGAGGGCATCGCCTGTGGACTCTATATTTGTGCTTAGGGACTATTGCACTTATGTGGGTGATGATTTGACTACAAAACGTATAATTGAATGATTTTGATGAATGGTCTGATTTTGACATGAATGGTGTAAAACACCATTCATGTCAAAATCAGATCTGGACTTTTTTAAACAAATTCATATTCGTGTGAACATTGACCTTTGAGTCTTAACCTTTGAATTGCAAGTTTTCACACAGCTTCCAAATCATTTTATTTTCTGTAAGAAAAAATCTGTCTTTTTTTATTAGATGTGAAATCAAAATATAGCGTTTTCTATCCCCCTTAGTTATTGTTGAGTGGTGAACACTAGAGGGCGTCGGAGTATCTTTCAACTTTATTAGATCAGACATAAATTATCTTGACCTTGACCTCATAAAAGCACAACAGTCATTTGTGGTTTTAGATGCTAGTTGGTCTTTCTATATGTATTTATTAGTTTATTAGTTAAATAACGCCCTGTTTTGCAAGATTTTAACATAGTAACACAAACTGGGGTTGACCATGTTTACTGCAGCTGTGGCTCTGATGCCTCTGTTAAGATCATACAATGATGCAACCCTGATCTCTCTCCAACTGCAGCCTTTCTGCTCTCTTGACCTTTGACCCCAGAGCCATATCCTAATTTTTATTGACACATTAATCTGAAATGATGTGCGTGTTGTGGCACCTGGTGCCTGCCATGAGAATAATGGACACACCCACACACGCTGCCTGTCAGTGGGTTTAAAGACAAATGGGTTCTTTTTCAATTCTCCTGATGCCTTTTATCTACCCTCTGTCCAAAGAGGCTCTTTGCTTCTGAATTATGATGAGGGTCCATGTGGCACCTTAGATAGGCCTCTTTAGTAAATACAAGCCATGACTAGAGCCTCAGGATGGACTTGTTTTACCTTGTAGTTTCTTAATATCCTTTGCAAATATAAAAATCATAAAATGCAGATAATGCCAATTGTAAGATTCAGAGAGCATTAGGGTCAATTATATCTGATTTATATAAATGTAGAAGTACCAGGGTCAAAGCATTCCTTACATCTCTTTAAATGAGTAGCCTGTATTCATAAGGCATGTGATTTTGGATTTAAACTACCAGATCTTTGAAAATGATCACATTCTTTGCATTGTTTCCTTAAGAGTGGATTGTTTTGGTAAGTGATTTCATATAAATGCCTAAGGGAGACTTATTCCCCAAATCCCTTGTAAACTGCATTATATTAGTAGCTTAGCAAAAGAACCGAAAGAAAAGAGTCAGAGGAGGCTTAAGCCTTATCGCCTACCACATTGTTGTTTTTAATTTAGAGAGAGGGATTCTTGTCATTGAGGGATTTTCTGCTTTGTCATTCTGTACAGGATTTCCCTTTGCCGGGGGAAGAGCATTTCCTATTTTCTTTCTGCAGCAACTTCCTCCCTCAGAGGCTGCTCAAACAATACATCAGACACAGCTGGCTTTCAGTTTGAAACATTCCTAAGATGTTGCTGGAAACCCATTGGTGGTATTTATAAAAACATGAATGAAATGAGAAAATCAAAGAAAGATTGAATACATTATTAAAACATTGGAGAATAAACAGATGAGGTCACTTACATTATTCAGTTCCCATTAACTCAATACCTACACAATATGTTATAATGTACAAAAAGAGTCAGTCCACAAAAAATACAGGACTGACACCTGACACATCCTGTCTTTTAATGTTTGGAAACTCATTTTTCTGATTTATTCATCTTTATGCGCAATGATTTTTGTATTTTCTTGTTCTATTTAAACTGAGTGGATTTAGATTACGTTTAATATTGTTAGTTTGTATGGACGCCAAAGACTAGCAGACACTTTTTTCGGCGTACATTTACATCCAATTGAAGAATTAAGAGTGAATATAAAGATTACATCAATTGAAAACTGTTTTTTTTTTATGTTGTCAACAGTTTGTTCACATTATCTTGTTTGTAAAAGAAATCAGGGTTAAAGTGGTTTGTATTAAATATAAAACGTTCAGATGTACAAAACACTGGCTTTGTCATTTACTATTTAAATGTTATAGTGAAAAATAGACCTATGTGCCTTTAAAAATAATCATGTCCCTGATGGGTTCTTCTAAAATGTGGCAAAGACTTAGTAGTTTCTGTTGCACTGGGTTCAAGAATTAGGCTACTGTCGTTGAAAAGTGGGTTAACTCGTCTCCAGTCTGCATGGAACCAGGCTTGCCCTGCTTTCTTGACAAGCCGCTGTGACAGTGGCTCAGGTCCGTGCTGTGCTAGGCCAGGTGGTGACGCATTTATTTAAGATCCTGGCAGGGGGTGGTGGTGAGTTTACCAGGAACCCACCAGGTGGTGGGCAAAACTGGCATCGCCCTCTTTAATCCAGGCTCACTATTTGGCAGACATAGACCTGTTTAGTTTTTGCTGCACTCTGCAAAATAACCAAACTGAATTAATGTCCTAATACACAAACATAACTGTCTCTATGTAAATATTGTACAATGTGTATGTTATATTCATAAACATGGTGTGACTATTTAAGTCTGCAATCTACCTTTCAATCTCTGAATGCAATCCATGGCTGTCATATCAACTGACGGTTTAAAGCTTTACAAATAAATAAAGGGAATACAATGTGTTGTGTTCAGCTCGTGGATAAATTGTATGAAACAGGCTCAATCAGAATCAGAAACAGATACAAAAAAAACACAATTTATAAAAAATCTCTGATAAATAATTAGCCTTCTCAGTTTATTAAAAATATTTCTTCAAAAAAGATTTAACTTTGCAGTTATCAATTGAATCATTCTAACAAATAGTGAAAGTGTCTGACAAATGAACGAATTTAACATCAATATAGGTTTATATTAATCCTCCTATTTTGTATAATACAGTATAACTTAGTTTACCAGTAGGCTATTACTTTCAAGGTGTTTTGGCCTTTACTTTAAGCGTTTTTCTCACATTTTGCAGAAACACTTTCTATGGTATTCTTACAGTTTGAAAACAATAGGCTAAACTTAATAGTTTTCTTGTGAATTTATTATCAGAACAATAGAGAGCATTAGGACCCTGAGCCTCAGGGGGAAGCCCCCCCTCTCTTTATCCACTGATCTGACAGCTTGAGCTCGCAGCCAATCAGAGGCAAGATGAGAGCTGAAGAAGGAGGCGGCTTGCGGTGTTTTTTGCGGTGCGCCGAAGTTTAACAACATTTGCTGCGTTGTTTGAAAACCTACCTGCAGGTCCTCTGTAATGCCTGTCAAACACAGCAGATCTTTATTCGACACATTTTCAACCGGATAACCCCGATCTGGCGTTTGGATTACTACTTTAGTTATTGTAAATCAATTCATTGTTTCTTTTTTTTTTTAGCTATTTTTTTTATAGCGTTTGGACTTGTCCCCAGTAACGGGTACAGTCACACAGTGTCCCCACAACAGCTGACTGGGTCGCAGACAGGAGACGCACGCGTGTATCCTCCTTCTGGTTGGGATTTCTTTTAAAACAGGAAGACTGAAAGCTGGTCAACATGTCGCTAAGCAGAAGTATTGAATTTGAACACTTTGAGGAACGAGAGAAGCCTCACCGGACACCGAGGACTAACTCTGGCTCCGGGTCCCAGTCCGGCTCCAGAGGGAACGGGGTGGTCCCCAGCCCAGCGAACAGTGCGCACTGTAGCTTCTACCGGACCCGCACCCTCCAGTCCCTCACCTCTGAGAAAAAAGCCAGAAAAGTGCGGTTTTATCGCAATGGGGACAGATATTTTAAAGGTTTGGTGTATGCCATATCTAGCGACAGGTTCCGGTCCATGGATGCTCTGCTCATGGAGCTCACAAGGTCTCTGTCGGACAATGTCAACCTTCCTCAAGGAGTCCGGACCTTATACGCTTTGGATGGAGGCAAGAGGATCACCAGTCTGGATGAGTTAGTAGAGGGTAAGGGTGATAATGGACCTTATGTGAACACCAATCATGAAAAAGGGCCAATACTTTATATTGATGATAGAGTGCATTGATTCAGTCATTACATTGATTTTTATAAAAGCTCAGTTTGCCTTGAGCACTGGCTAAATGGTCCATGCAAACTGATCAATGTAGCTCCAGGGAAATTATGCCAACATTTTCACAAGTCACTTTTAGAACATATTCACATTGATAAGGGCTGACCCCTAATGGCTCTTGATGCTGTTTACTTTGTGAATTGGATGTCTATGTTGCCATTTGCAGGAAAGTTGTGCCAGACAAAGTGTAGTTGTGTGCTCCTCTAGTTCTACTGTAGCTAAATCTATCAAATTACCTCTGAAGGACATTACAGTATAATGGATGCAGTGCAGAGCTTCCCTTGCATCATTGACATAACTGTTCTGACATCTTTGACCCAGTGTCGTGCATGCAGACAAGCAGACCCCTCCTCAGTGCAGCTTTAGTTCTGCACAGGTTGCTAATGCCTTCAGGGTCCATTGATCTCAGCTGGACTCTTTCACTCTCTCCCCTTTTTAGTTTGTAGTGAGCTGAGTTTGTGCTGGTTTGAAAATGCCTTGTGTAGCTCTAAGTGCAATCCTGCCTGGGAACAAATGTGGGATGAATGTGGTGCAGGGTCCATTGGATGCTCTCTTAAATTGATCTCACCCTTGTGGCTTGAAAGATGGAAGTTTCCCTCCCCCATCGAGTTTGTTTGTTAAACTGTAGGGGCGATATAATGGCTTTTAATTCCGGAAATGTGAGAACAATTTTGGAAAAATCGGTTAAGTCAAGTTTATCAAGTTAAATGATCGAGTCATTAGTAGAAGTGTTCAGGATCAGTTCAGTCATTTTGGTGAGGAACTGCAGGACTGACATTACTCCCTAAACAAATTTAGTTTAGTGCATTAGCAGACAAGTTATCTATACTATTTTAAGTTTATGACATTATGTCAAAGGCAGATTCGCACTGCTGACACCAATAGAGCACAGTCTTCTCCTTCCCTTTCCCTTTCCCTTTCGTGCAGTGTGATTCACCCTGCAGGGACAGACTGTGGCCTCTCAGTAATAAGATAATCTTCATGTTCAGCCCTGGTGTGTGTGTGTGTGTCTGCACTGTGACCTGCTGCAATCCTCTTTTAACAGGAGAGGTCACGGCTCTGCCACACACACTCAGGATCCACAGACGTCTTACTACAGTCATTATTCTTGTACACTCGTCTATTTCCACACACATCCTTATAAAACTTGAACTTGATTTCCTATGCCCCCTCTCCTGAATGACTGGGGAAGATTTAGGCCAGAGCCTGATCTAAATTCTGTAGCTTCACTAGTTTGGCAATTTGAGCAAAAGTAGTTTTGGTGCATTGGCAGTCTACCACTGCACCTCTGCACTTAATGTGCAGGAAACTCTTGTGAAATGAGGATCCTGGGCATACATGCATTACTAGTTGTGTTTCATTTATTCTGGATGTAACGTTTTTGTAGACTTTTTTATTTTTATAAATGGTGTTCACATCATCACCCAAGTTTTGGAAAGGTGGAAAACTCAAACAGATAATCCAACATAATGATAAAACAACTTCTCTATCCAAGAATTGAATGTCTCACATCAGCCGGTCCAACATCCAAGGGGATTGAAAATCCAATTTAACCGCACACAACCGTCTCAGTTCTTCTGAAAACTTGAACACATGCAGGTCATAAACTACAATCCAATCCATATGGATACAGCATGAGTGAACCTGGTCCTTCTGAAGAACCCTGATGGGGGTGTTTCCATGGTCCCGTTTCCATTTAATTCACATTCATATTGAGTTTTAGAATTAGATTTTTTAAATACTGTGAGCCCCTTTACTAAACTTCGTTCAATCTATTTGTATTGTGATAATGGCCAAAGTCAAGTAAGACAACTAAAAAACACAGCAAAGTAGCCAACTATTTACATGGCTTGATACCTTGAGGGGCAAGTGGGAAAGTGTTTTTATGACTTAGGTCAAATCAGATGTGAGATGCACTGCAGGGTGGCAGAGCATCAGTGTCTTGTTCTTGTTTACTCGCCCATCTAATGGACAGAGAAGGGACACATTACTGCACAGCTCAGCAGTCTGCCTCCATAGATTGAGGCCTGCTGGGGCTCTTTTGTGTAAAAACCCAATAAGCACCATTCGCATGTGTGTCCCCTCTGGCTGGATGGGATTATTAAACCCACCGGTCAGCTCTTAGGGAGCCGTGCCAAGAGCAACCGGGAGAAGTCGAGCAGCGCTGGCCAGGTGGGAGTGTTCTGCTGATAGCACAGCAAGGTCGAGTTGTTTACCTTTATCACGTGTTGGAGGTTTGCTAGAAACGTTAGTAAGTGCCGGCAGCCCTTTTCAGCTCATTGTGGCTTTTTGTCCTTCCCAGAATATTTAAAACTGATCTGCTTTCCAAATAGTGCCACATTGGTCAATATGCAGTTCTTTAAACCTGTATGTATTGAAGAATAGCACCGCTAAGCTCTGCCAACTTGGTGACACACAAATTGCATTTCCTATAACTTATTCACATTAAAAGCATCCTGGTTTTGGTTTTGGTTCTAGTTCTAATAAGGTTCACATCAGCACTTGCCTTACACAGCTTGGAAACAACATCAGTAAAAAGTTAATTAGGCTAATATCTAAAACTATAAATGGGAACACAGTTGTAAAACTAAACCCTCCACCCCAGAGATTTGATAGAAGTTAAACAATTACAGAAATCTTAACACAGAGATACTTTTATACCTACAATAAAAGGAAATTATGTGTTTATTGTCTGGATAAATCACAGTTTTTTTTTTTAAATATTGAAATCTTGTGAATGAACAAGACTTGTTTTGTATTTGCCTGGAGACCTTCCGTTTTAAACAATTTAGGTTTTAATTATCTGTGGTTAATACTGTAAATTCACAGTTTTAGGAGCCGCTCAGTCTTGAATATTTTTAAATGCCTAATTTGTTGCAGCTTTTGGGGTATGGCTCGAGGCTAACACTGCTGAGCTGCATCACTAATGTATGCTTGATTGAAAGGGATTTCTTGGATAAAAGAACAAACTAGACATTGACATATTTGACATTATTTGAATAAGCTAAGCAACAGATTGGGACCATCCCCCCAAACCCCTTTTTTATGATACCCATTCACTGCCATTGCTCTGGTTTTGGTTTGTTGACAGATGTGAGACCACTGCATTAAAGCTGCTGGACATGTTAGACAGCTCTGTTAAAGCTGAGCTCATCTGTGGTCCACATGAGGACAGCAGCCAGTGGTGGCTGGTTGGGGCTCCCCTCACATCACTGAGGGATGTAGCACCTGAGACCCCTGCACCTCGGGGAATAGCCTGTCACCAGTCACCATCTGAGGTCATTCCAGCATCCTGTCATTGTCCCCCCGATGAATGACACCCCCAGTTATATTTTGTTTTAGTTTTCAGCCAAAGCTCAATCCCTCCAGCTGTGGCCTTGCATTTTAATTAGCCTTTGGTTAATTGCGAGCTTAATAAGACCAGGTATCGTGGGACGCACTGTCTCATCTGGCCTTCTTTCACTGCAGTTCGCTTCTTTTGTCTTGACATTCGTCGGATAACTAAAATTGTATAGTTTGGATTTGATACTGTTTGTAGAAACAGGTGTTTAGCAAAAGATAATAAAACTTTCAAGAACAATTCTTAACACTGTCCCACAAACCTTTTTAAGGTGTATACTAGTACATTTCAGAGGTTGGTCCACTTATAGGATTATACATTATTCAGCTTAATCTAGCCTGTGTTTCAGTGCTATGCAGTTTATACAAATGACTCAGAAATGCAGAGTTAAGGCATGACAGACATTTTACCAAGCTATGGTTTTTCAGTTTCTCAATGTGTGCCTGCTATTTTGCTCCTTGACATTTTTGATGAGAAATATTTATCCTCTAGCCCTTTAAATATCTTCACTGATATAAACCGTGGATATTAGCTAGAACATGAGTATCTTGTACGCTTAGTGAAGTGTCTGTTAAGCAGAAGTTTATTCTCAGAGACATCCATGTTGTGTGGTAAATACTTTTGTGATGAAGGTAGCATGAACAGAAATGATTTTGTCTTACTCAGAGTGGAACAGCATTGAGTTTCTCATCCAACACTCAGCCTTCAAAACAATCACCAGACATTCCTCCTGTGGTTAACATGTTTCGGCCCTGTACTCGTCACATAACTTTGTTCTTAAGGGGAAACATTTGCTTGTTAAAACGTGGAATGTAAGGCTGGCAGATAAAACAAAGTGCTTTGCATTGGATGAAGGCCAACGCAGCAGCTCGGCAGCTGAAGGGGAGAGAGGACAGTGGTACTGGCCCGGCCTCTCAATGCGCCTTTCTGTTTCTACTGAGGAATGTTAACTCTGTGTTGTCCCTCTGACTCCCATATGGCATGTGGACATGGTCTTTTATGTTGCATAATGCATATGCATACCCAACATGTCAGATGAATTCTGATCCAAAGTATGTGCAGTATGTGTGTGGGATCTTTCCAATATTTAATTTAAAACACATTTTTTGAATTTCTTAAACATAGTAAATAGTGCTCGGCAGTATATCGATATAAGATATTAGGATAAATGACTGGTTATTGTGTTTTGGATATCTCTTTATGGCCTAAATGTTGTCTTTTTCTGGTTTTATAGGAAACAGTGTAGTAAAGTGATGTCGTTTTATAATTTTATATTATCTGTTTTGACTAATTCAGTGATCAAAATGACTCGATAATTTATCAGATATCTCATTGTGTAAATATTTTATGAAAGCACTTACAGTATAGTTAACATAAACATATTGTTGCAATATCTTTATCCAGATATTGGGTCAAAAATATTGTGTGGTATTTGAAGACAAGAGATCAACTCTACCACCTTCTTTCTTCCCTCAGGTGAGAGTTATGTGTGTGCCTCAAACGAGCCCTTCAGACGAGTGGACTACAACAAGAACGTTAACCCTAACTGGGCCGTGGGCAGCAAAACAGGCACATCGCGCTCCCTCTCCTGTCTCCTCCCGTCCAAGAGCGATCTGCAGCGTGAGTCCAAGGACTTCATCAAACCCAAACTAGTCACAGTCATCCGCAGCGGAGTGAAACCCCGCAAAGCAGTGCGGGTGCTGCTCAACAAGAAGACGGCTCACTCCTTTGATCAGGTGCTCACTGACATCACAGACGCTATCAAGCTGGACTCTGGAGCTGTGAGGAGGCTGTACACTTTGGAGGGCAAGCAGGTGAGTCTCTTACAATACATGCTGGGATTAGTTTAAATGATTATTGCAGCTTTGGTAATCACCAAACTCATGGAAAAACAAGTTAGAGAAAACAAGTATTTTTTTTTCTTGCCAATATCGATGAAGTCATTGACAGTTGGAAGGAGTTGTGTTTTCAGTGAGATGAAATTGGATAGTGTGCATATGAAAACCAGATGGAGCAGCTGAGCTTTTTAGCCAAAGGTTTCATCTCCAAAAAGTGCTGTGATTTATAGGTTTCAGCTGTGTCAGCAGTCTAGGTAATTACCCCCCATTTAATCATCCATACATAATTACACGCCACGATTATTTCAACAAGGCACTAATGAATACACTTACGTTTTGCTATATCCATCAGTACAGTTTCCTCAATACCTTGCCATCCCATTAAGCCATTGAGACTGTTTTTACTATAAGCCTATCCACCTGGGACTCATATATAGTATTATTTACATCTGAGATTCTCATTTAGGGTCCCTGGTGTCATGAGATGAGGTGAGTTTGAACACATGGTGCCCCTAATCCAAAAGATTGATATGATGCTGTCTCATCTGGATAGTCGGATAGATAAATCGGTAAAGCTGTTTAATGTAAGAAACCAAACAAAAGTACTGGGTCAAAAATAAACTGGAAATTAAGGAGCTTGTATGCAAACACTTGGTAACCTTAAGGAGGTATGAAGGCTTGTTTGAGACTTCAGGGGATGAACGTGTCCATGGGTCTGACAGAATCACATTTATAAAATGTATGTGATTTTATGCACATTTATATGATTTCCCCCAGTAGTTAAACAAATATTTGACTAAATACCAGGCTTATTGAATTGTTGTTATTCCTCCATTATTCAGATAATAGAATAACAGCTGTACTCAAGACTTCAAATTAGATTAAAATGGTAAATAATGTCAGGGATTGATATGGTCAAAAACAAGGTACTAAAACAAAAAATGTCCAATTATATGGTTCGTCCACAGCTGCACACAGTTATGTTTCTTGTGAGAATCTTATTTGATTCTCCACTGTGATTATTTCAGTCCCATATCTGTCACATAAATCATTTATCTCTCAATTTCCATCTGTAGTAAATACCAACTCGATCAGCTGTGCAGACCAGCTGTTCTTCCCAGCCATTTCACACCCTGTAATGCTATGAAGAAAGTTTCATTGGACTTTACGGAGTACATTCAAATAAATGTTACTATGGTAACATTTACATTTTTACATTTTTATTGTAAACTGTATCATACTAGCTTTTCCATTATTTCCCTATGTTGTGAGTTTCCAATTCATTTGTAGACCAAAAAGGTTAGCATATTATTAGACAGATTGAGAGGAAGCACCCTTTCTGTAACTGCATTGTTTTCATAAATCAAATGAAGCATATACAGCATACAGCTCCACTATTTTTGAATTTTTTTTTAAAAGTAATATCCTGTACCTAAATGGTGCCTTAACATAGAAAGTGACAAGAAAGTATTATTGGGTTAGACTGTGTTTTAATAATCAAATATGTTCTAGTTTTTCAGCTGTCACTTTAGCTGAATCAGCCATTTAGAGCTTTAACCAGTAGCAGTAGCTGCCTTTGGAAAGGCAGTGAGTGTGTTTGTGCCATTATGTATGATTCACTACTTAAAAACTGGCTCTTTGCTTTAGAATCGTTTGACTCTCTTGGCTTCAACAGGAGTGTCTCAGAATGAAATTAAGAGTGTGATTTAGAGGTTTAACCCATTAAGCCTGTAACGTGATCCAGACACCAGAGCTTGACTCCTGACAGTATCCTGTCCATGATAGTATCAGTCAATTCAGTCAGTAGATGTTTTATTTAACAAGGGCTGAGGCTTTTATTGCCAGTGACAAAATAAATTGTTATATCTGACAACATAATCTTTACTGTATTTTTCCGTATTGCCTTCTTAGAGAATTGAATGGGAAAACATTAGCTTCTGCCCCGCTCAGCTTGAAGAGGAGCTAACAGTCTCCTAAACTTAACTTGTCTCAATAATCTGACAGCAGCTGACTGTTTGGATGTCTCTGTCATGAATCCTCTCTGTACTGATAAGCCTCTTTTCACATCCTTTGTGGTGCCATACTGGTGGCTGGAAGCCTCTTTCCCACATACATGTAGTTGCTATCCTGTAAAAATCATGTATGTCCAAAACTTCATCAACTTTTCATGAGCTAAGAAAAGCTTTGTTACAATGCAAAACAAATAGGATAATTTCCCCTTAAATTCAGAGTTAGATGGGTTTCACTTGCAAGCAAAGACATCCATCTCATAAATATGTGTTCTTATACATCAAATGGAACAGTGTTTAAAAAATAAACAAAATCAAATACATTGGTTGTTTTAAAGAAGGGCATTTTCTAGTGTCAGTTCCTTTGAAAGAACACTGACGTCTTGGGGGGTCAGACCAAGTCAGACTGGAAGATCGACACCAATTACAGCATGTTCAGAGTAGAACTAGCATACAGCCTCCTAGACTGGAGGCGAGGGACAGACTCTATCCAGTACATTTTTAGACTTTAAACTGCTTCGTCGTCTTGGGGACTGTAGTTTGTTTGTGAATGTTGAACTGAATGGTGTTCCTAATGTTTGGTTGTCCATGTGTGAAAAGTGCATTGTACAATGAAAGAAATAGGAAGTGTACAGTGACTTAGTATCATATGTATTCACAAATGGTCACAAATAATGTTAATCTTTAGTTTAGATACCAGTGCTTTGTTTTATGTGTATGTTATAATTATTTCCTAAAAAGTAAGGCTCCTCACCCAAAAACACAAACACACACATGCTCCAAATGCCTTCCAGCAGCAGCCTGCCATCTGCTCCTCCAAAATCAAATCACTGGTCCCAGCCACCCGTTCTACAGCCCCCTCCCACTGACACACACACACACACACACACACACACACACACACACACACACACACACACACACACACACACACACACACACACACACACACACACACACACACACACACACACACACACACACACACACACACACACACACACACACACACACACACACACACACACACACACGCGCACACACACTCAGAGGCCCCCCACTGGGGCCCTGGCCACCACCGGATAATTAGACCTATAAGCTGGAAGAGAGGGTTAAAGTGCAGCTGTCAGGTGTGTGTGTATTCAGGGACATGCATGTGTGAGTGCACAATACATCTCTGTCCACTCTCCCTCCTCGAATCAAAGATGCTCTTCAGACTGAATGTTAATTGTAGATCTTGGTTATCAGGGCCAGCCGAATCAGCTGCTGCTGTTCAGAGAAACCCCTGTTTTACATCTCAAAGCTGACTGGGCAGGCGGAAAATAAGATTCTCCTTTTCTTTACTGTCTAATCGATGCATTCATTAATTTGGGGAGCAGTTAACGGTCCAGTACTTGCTAAGTTGTATTTTTTATTTATGAATCATTTAAGCTCTGTCAATGGAACTGTAGAAAGAAGAAGATAAACAAAAGGAGAAAGTGAACGTATTGAATTGTAAGGAGAGAAATCTTAACCCTTGCCTTTCCTCTCCTCCTCATAGCTGGCCTATCAGGACGTGAGGTGGTTGTGAATGTCACATTGTCGCATTTGGAAAGTGAGATAGGACACAGTTGTACTCTTGGATAGATTATCCTGTGTGAGTCCTGAACAGCAGCACTAAGCTGCAGCGACCTGGCACTGACCTGGCACTGACCTGGCTACACCTTGGCACATTAAGACTGCTGTCAGCTCAGAGTGGTTGACTGAGAATCGTGTTGACAAAAGATGGAAGGTAGAAAGGGAAGAAGAAGAGGGTTGTTGCCAGAGAAGGAGGGTGAATGGACACAAAGCGTATTCCCCAGCCCCCAGTCTCTTGAGTGCCTGTTTGCCCCCCCTTGTTACCACCCTGACTATTTATCCCACTGTGCAGAGCAGCTGACAACACTTCTGTTTGCCGTAATTACATTACAAATTCGTATTCCCACTTCAGTTACATGATCCTCGTGTTAGGGATGGAAACACCTATTTGAAAGGATGCTGCATTATAATGTATGAGACCCTCTGGTCACTTTCTCCATGGCAACATTGGGTTCACACACACACACACACACACACACACACACACACACACACACACACACACACACACACACACAGAGAGATCTCCCTATCTACAGTATAGTTCCCAATTCAATGTCAGATTCAAGGACCTCTATAATCAGATAATTGACAAATGATTTTACCCATTTTTGGTGACCTTCCTTTTTACCCCAGTGCGTTTTGGTTAAACTGGATACTGTCCAGGATATCTCCCTGCCTTTTACCCAAAATAACCTTAAGCCCCCTCTGACCTTAACACATAATCAACGTCAGTCAGTCTTTGGTACTGCTATTAAAACATTAGGTCAATATGGTACATTATAGCATTAAGCAGAAATCCCATTTTTGTGGTTGATGTGAGAGAATAATCGATAACATTGGTTGTTTTAAAGAAGTATTATCCCATAATACGTTGTTATTGTTAATAGTTCCCCAATCTTGGATTCATAGCATTTGTTTATTTAATCTTCTATTTGTTACACTACAATTTTGCTGTAGTACAAACTAAATGCTGTAGTAGACCACCGTATATAGCCACCTCTGCTTGTTCTTAATGTACCTATAACACATATTCAATAATACCTTGCTGCAAATGGTTGCAATCAAAAAAGTTTTCCTCTTATATTTGTCTTCTTTTGGCCAGCACTCATCATGTGGTTTTAACATCAATGGAATAATTAGCAAGAGCGCACTACATCCATATCAAGTCATTACTTCTTTTTCATGTAGTGATAAAACTATAGATTACAGCTACTGTATGTCCTGGCTGAACATTTACATAACTTAAACATTGATTGTCTCTCGTTAAAAACATTTGCCTGAACATCCTAAAATACAATGGCCGATGTTCCCAATGCTTTTTACTCAGTGATGTTATCAGGATGACAG